GAATTAAGGAGCCTGGCTTACATCTTGTGCAAATCAGATAGGAATCACTAGTATGAATGATTTATTCCTCATCGTGCAAGATTATCTATCCGGAGGCTAATCCGAACCTATAGTTAACTACTATCGGGACTGATACGTGCCTTGTGAGTGATAGACTCGGAGTTGATAAGGAGATTAGAGATTGGAGATTAGAGTGTTGCTATCTACTCTCCGCCAGTCGCTTTGCGATATGATCAAACCCTGCTTTGCTGGGCGTTCTTCGTGGCTCATTCTTCTGTTCAAACCGGTCAGTCGTGAAAATCATGTCTACGAGCTAAGTATGGAGACAGATCAGAGTGCCCATATGATTGAAAAGACCAAGATATATTTAAACTTCTTCTGTTTTATATTCCGCTTCAATGATACTTTCGATATACACCTGGGAGCATTTCTTAACATCCTTTGGCTAAAGTCTTCACATCTCTGCACCAAAATTGGAGGAATCCTGCAACTTCAACCTAATCATAACATAAGAGCGGCGTAAATCATTGCTGTAGAATACATCCAGTCATTTCAAATAATTATGATATTATACTAAGTGTGAAGGTTTCGATATCAAAAAGGTATACTGTATAAACGACATGAGCCCTGAACAGAGTTGCAAGAGAAAAGAGGATGTAAAAGTGGGGATAAGTGAAAAGACACCAAGGAAGAACGAGAAAGCGTTCAGGAAGCAGCCGATCCCTACCACCTGGAAGCGAGAACATATATCCGAAGAAATCTATAGAATGGTACAATAACACCGTCGCTCATGCATTTTCAGACTGTAGAGTTTGCTGTGGATAACTGGTCAGCACTTATCCAGAAGGAAGCAAAGGAGCTTGAGGTTGCACATACCACCAGCCAATCCATGCCTTCGTTAAGACCTTTGCCGTCAATAGCAGAGCATGCGACGATGCTCCAGTTCCTATCCCGTAGCTCTCCCAGCTTGAGAGCCTCTGATATCTCGCCGGCACCTTTGGCGCCAGGCTGGTCCTGCTTATTGGCAAATACCAACAGCGCCGCATCACTAAGCTCCTCCTCGTTCAGCATGGCCGCTAGTTCGTCGGCAGCCGTACTGAGACGTTCAATATCTGTGGAATCAATGACGAATATGACAGCAGCGGTGTTCGCATAGTAGCAGCGCCAGTAGGGCCGAATGGACGTTTGACCTCCGAGATCCTGGACGACAGCGGTACGTCAGTAACCTCAGTTACTCTCTCTCCTCGCCAAGGGGCGTCCATAATAAAGTTGCAGCGTTTACTCACCCAGACATTGAAATTCAGGTTGCGATACGTCACCGATTCCACGTTGAAACCAATGGTTGGTATCGTAGTAACAACTTCACCAATCTATTCATGGCACATCAATAACGGCCTCTAGCTGACAGTCGAGCAGCTCTGCAAGACTATACGCACCTTGAGTCTGTATAGAAGGGTTGTTTTTCCGGCGTTATCCTAGAGATGGGAGCGCGGGTTAGTATGAAGCTCGCTAGTAGCTGGATGCCTAGTGCCAAAACATGGATATACCTACCAAACCGAGGATGAGGATGCGAATTTCCTTCTTCGTCCAGAGGAAGGACCACATACGAGACAAGGAGCCTCCCATGTTGACAATTTTTGACAGCGACAGGAGCAGAGTAACACTTGGACAGAGGGGGGGCCGCGGAGTTGGACAAGAGAATGACGGACTAGCGAGAGATATTGCGGAGGGAGGGTCGGGCGTCGAGCGGTGGCGGAGAGGATGCGGCGAACACGAAAAGGACTCGCTCCAAGCAGAGGGCACCAGCCGAGGGGATGTTAGGAGATGTAGCAGGTCAACGAAGGGTCGATTTAACGGAACTGAATAAATCACAGCTTGACACGAGACAAGGCCACGATCAAGAGCTGACTAAATGGCATGGAGGGATGGTTGGTGGCCATCATTGGCCCGCGGTCTCCTGCCGATCGGCCTGGCCCAAGCTCAAATCAACTAAGGATGGGCTTGGATGGGGATGCGGTTCACTACCGCTCGCTCGCCGGTGTTGGTTTCCCATCATTCACATTGTCGTCGGATTCCTGCCTCTCCTTCCCTCCCTCCCCTGCCACGACACCTTTCGCTCCATCATCCCTCTTCCTCTTCCCCACGCGCCACCTCACCGTTGGGATGCACCTGATCTGAATCCGAATCTACTCCTTCCGACATCCTTCGCGATCCGCTCGCGATTTAACCCGGTCAACTTTCTCTCACTCACTCCCTACTCAGAGATTACCGGCTGCCGGTCCAGCAACACATCATGGTCGGCAAGAAGTCGGGAAAGGCTCTCCTTCGGGATGAAGGTACATATTCAGCGGTCCAATAAGCGATTAGGCCTTCTCTGCTAACACACCTGCTCAGGCCTGGAGCGGACCGATAACAATATGGAACTCTCGAGCTGGCCGCAGGTTCCTCCTATCAATCAGAAGAACTACTACACGTACGTCGCTATACCTCCATCTTCGATACGCAGTTTGGTGGCTACTCTGCTTGCGCCCTCTATCCGCCCACCTTCAACGCTGACAATCATTTCCTTCATAGAGACTATCTGAAGCGCGATGACCAGTATCTGGCGTTCAGACTACAGAATGAGGAGAATCGAAATCGGATGGCAAAAACGGCCAAGGACCGCGATCGTGCCCTAGCCATGGCAAAGGCCAACGACCTAGGGCTGCCAGAAGCAGATGCGGAAGATGGCGATACCAACATGGAAGATGCGGAAGACACTGCTACGGAAACAGTAGGCTCAAAGGTTATTGTTATCCACGTGGGTAGTCAAAACCTGCGAATTGGACTGGCCAGTGATGCTTTGCCTAAGACTGTGCCAATGGTGATTGCGCGAAAGGCTGCTTCCAGCGAGTCCGAAGACCAAGAGGAACCTTGTCCCAAGCGGCTGAAACTGGACGATGGCTCAACCATGGACCCGGAGAAGATGTTTGGCCCTGAGGTTTGTTTCTCGCCTACTCGAGCTCATTTTCTTTGCTTCTAACCCGTCACAGTTTGCTTCCCAATATACGACGATGTCGGCGGAGCTCAAAACCCACATGCGACAGAACAAGCGTCGAACACTGCCAAACTCCAAGGAAATGGTCGTCAACTTCAACCGGAGGACCGTGCCAGAGACTATTTCAGAACACAACGACCCCATGCGCGTGGAATGGACCGAGATCCCTGACCCGGCACCCGAATACATCGTGGGACAAGCGGCCCTGAGGATACCCGATGGTTCGAAGCCTCGCTATAAGCTTTACTGGCCAATAAGGCATGGCTGGTGCAATGAACGAGATTATGACAATAAGCGGCTTCTCTTCCTTGACATCTCCCTCATCTTGGAAGATGCTTTCAAGACCCAACTGGGACTTACCAGCAAGAAGGATTGGCCTCAGTACTCCTGCGTCTTCGTTATCCCTGATATCTACGAAAAGTCTTATGTCACCCAAGTACTCGAGTTGCTCATGAGAGAGTTCGCCTTTGCCCGAGTCTGCTTCATCCAGGAAAGTCTAGCAGCTACGTTCGGCGCCGGGTTCACCTCGGCTTGCGTCGTCGACATTGGCGCCCAAAAGACATCCATATGCTGCGTCGAAGAAGGCATGTGCGTTGAGAACTCTCGCGTGAACCTGAAGTATGGCGGGTTGGATATCACTGAAGTGTTTATAAAAATGATGCTTTACGACAACTTCCCCTACTCCGATATCAACCTCTGGCGTCGATACGACTACCTGTTGGCAGAAGAGCTGAAAAGGAACGTTTGCACCATGAACGAAGCGAGTGTATCGGTGCAAGTTTTCGATTTCCATCTCCGCGTTGCTGGTCATGATACCCGGAAGTACTCTTTCAAGGCTTACGATGAGGTTCATCTGGCGCCGATGGGCTACTTCCAGCCGACCATTTTCGATCACTCACAGAAGCTCAAGGGACGCAGGAAGCTGATTGCCCGCTCGGTGGATATCTACGACGGACAGCCTAATGACCCGACATCTGCCGCCCAATCACTCATTCTTTCCAGCATCGCTCCCCCTCCCACTAACGGCCAGGTGAACGGTGATGCGCAGTCGAACAACGTGGACGTTCAGGCTACCCCCAGCCGGGCCCAGCAGTTCAATGCCCTGAGTCGCGTGCAAGAGCTTGAAGCAACTCCACGATCTTCAGTCGCTGGCTCCCCTGCGCCGGAAGCAGTCGGTACACCTCAGGCCGGCGCTGCTACCCCTGCCCCGAGCGGACAAGGCCAGAGCACGTCGCAGCCCCGTGGGCCCACTGTTGAAGAGAGGGACGACATTCTCCCCGTATACCCTCTGGACAATGCGATTTTGACCTCTATCGCTCAGGCAGCTCGATCGGATGAGCGTAAAATGCGAGACTTCCTCGGCGGTATCATGGTGGTTGGAGGCGGAAGCTTGGTCAATGGATTCCACTCGTTCCTAGAGGAGCGTCTACAGGCTCTGCGACCAGCTTTCGCTAAGGAGATCATGATTGGCACACCGCCGCGAGACCTTGATCCGCAAGTTGTTGTCTGGAAGGGAGCGAGTGTCTTCGGCAAGTTAAGCGGAACGAATGATAGCTGGATCGGCCAGCTGGAATACGACCGACTGGGACATAGGCTCATGGCATACAAGTGCATGTGGGCTTACTGATCTTCTGCCTTTCCCAGAGGGCTCTGGCTATTCCTGATCTGAAAGGTGGTGTTGGTATGACACGGGAACACTGACACAATTTTGTAACTCTATTGAATTTCAAGCTAGCTTTCTGTTTGATCCACACATATCCTGCAGCCTAGAGTTACAGGCATCAAATACGAATAATGACAAGTGAATGGAACATTCTGTAGTATGATACAAGATTCACGCCAACTTCCTTTTAAACTGCAATCCAACTATAACTGCCTGCATGCTCGGAGCATCCTTTCTCCGAACCTTCATTCACGTTGACTCACGCTAACTTTGCTAGTCAGGCGGTAAAACACTGCAGAAATGAGCCGGCCACCCCCATGTAAGTTTATCCTGCATCTCGATGCTCGCAACCGTGCATACTGTTTGTCGGTGCTCACTGACTGCGTTATCGCCTCCTTAAGCTCCCAGGGAGTTTATAGTGACTCGTCGGCCCCGCAGAACTCCTGGTTATCTTGTGCCTACCTCTGAGATTCCCCCGCTTACCCTCCCAGAGCCACGTAAGTTTCAATGAGCTGTCGCCGCGCGCGCAAGTTGGGAGCTCCACTAAAGTGTGTTACAGTGTACAGTTCACCTTCCTCTGACGACGCTGAACCAAAGGAACTGGTGCTCTCCGAGTTCCGAGCGAGAATGTCGAAATCCAAGGACAGCAGCTCCTCCGGGGGCTTTCACCAGGAGTACATTGCTTCTCTCCGCTACCGAAATGACCTGCCGCCTCCGGATATGCCCCCGAAGTTCCTCGATATCCCACATGAGGGCTTGGACCGTTTCTTGACCCCGGGATTTGCCTCCAATTTGGCTCGTCGCGAGGAACCTAACATTGATGTTGACGCGGAAGGTGGTATGCCAATCGACTTGGTCGGTATTCCCGGGCTTCACTTGGGTGATGAGAGCGGTATGTATTTCGGCTTGCATGATCTGATCTTTATTAAATTGGCGGCTGACAATTGTTGGAAATCCAGCGATTATGGCCCCTGAGAACCCGGAACCCATTGACCAGGCTGATTTGGCGCTTCTGATGACGCCGGAGCAGCTGAAGAACCCGGCACCGAAGAATACCAACGTCAGTTTCCTTCGCCGTACGCAGTATATTTCCGCCGGTCTTCGGGCGCCTGATGGCCCCAAGGTCGCTCCCATCCGGACGAAGCGCGGGATGGACAAGACCAAGTCGCAGGATGACCCTACCTACATCAAGAAATACCTCCAGAAAGGTTTCGATATTGCGTATCCTCACAGCAAGCACGTCGGTGAAGATACAGCTAGCAAGATTAAAGGCCACACTCCCACGAAGCTTGAACACGATGCATGGGCTCACCCAGTGCACCCTGATAACCCTAAGCTGAAGCCTGTCGGATTCTATCCGCTCCTCCCCGATCTGGAAGGATTCCCGGACCCGGGTGGTTTTGTCCAGTTCAAGTTCGACAAGGCGCCTGTTCAGGATGTTTCTGGAAAGAGAGACAAGCGCATGGATGTGGCTATATTGCTTCCATCGGCACCAGAGGAACGTGTCTGCCAAGAGCACAACACGAAGGCGGCCTTGTATAAGACGAACCCCAACCTGTACCCTGACCCAGGTCCTATCCCATGGGATTACGATCTCTATCTGCCTGAGAAGAAGGATGCGGCCAAGAATGTTTCGGCAAGTCTGCGCATCACCAACCCGGACCGCGATAACGAAGCGCTGTACACTCATGACGGAGCCGACAATACCAAGTTCCACCGCTTCGACCGTGTCCGCACTTACGCTACGAGCGCTCAGACTTTGGGCAACGATCAGAAGCAAAAGGACATCGCGTTGACGCTCTTTGACCCGGAGGAAGTGAAGGATGGAAAGCGCGACGGTCTCGACTCAAGGCAAAGGGCTGCGTACTACTATCCCATTCTCGGAAAGACCCGTCTCAAGCCTGAGAGAGCCCGCACCATCGCCCAGGCCGGTCTGGCACCTACCCGTCCGAAGACCAAGGAGGATCAGGTCGATCAGATCCAAGTGGTGGTGCGCGATCCCGACGAGGCAGAAGTCTACAAGCGCTCTCTGCACAGGGCCGCCATTGACCCGAAGTTTGCCGAGTCGATGCCTCCACCCCCTGAGAACCCGGAGAACGATGCCGAACCAGCCAAGCATGAGGAAGATGAAGGCGAGCACGACGTCGACCGTCAGGCCTCGCCTGAAGACGCGCACGACGATGCTGGCAATGATAGCGACGAGTAACTGGCTCGGCCTTCTATCATATTGCATCCTCTAGGCGCAATGACGGCGGCAGGCATGCCTTCCTGAGTGTAACTTTTGCCTATGCATTACAGTTTACATACCCTTTCATTTGTCATTATGCTAATGTTCCTTGGACTTGTTCACATTGCATGGCCGTCTCCGAAAGGGGTCCGCGCTGCCAGTCGCATTGATGGGCTGGTTGGCAGGTATCGGAGTCGAGGCAGCAAAAGGCGTTGTGTGGCATGATCATCTGGAGTTACGTAGCGAGAGTTTGGTTTTCTTTCATTGTTGCGGCCGTGCAAATGCACAGAAACAGGCTGCCCGGGCGATTGATGTACATCCCGTAAATACTAGTCAACAATCTATGATCCTGCACGAAGAACATGCTCCGTTTGTCTGTCTTAGTTTCTACGCTACACCGCCCGGCTTATTGGTTCTGCCGGCTAAACACTTGACCGCCTCGGGACGTTGACGCAAAAGAACCGGATATTCAAGACGCTCGCAGCAACGTCCATCCACTCCGGCAGCTTTGTCTTTGCTCGACCTGGCGGCGTAATTGCGGCATCTGTGGCTGCTATTTCGCTAGTTCGGTGGAATTGACCTGCAATTGACTGACATTGAATGGTGAGTCGCTGCCATGATCGATCGAATCGGCTGTTCTTCGGCATAACAATTATATCAAGACATAGTCTTGACGAGCACATACTAGTGCTTCTCGAAGACCCAATTGCGCTTGACTACCTACATACTATGCATCTTTTCGAACACACCTAAACTAACACCTTCCTAGGTCAATCGCCCTACCCCTCACCATCACCCTCACTAGACCCCACCCCACCACAATGGCTACCAACGCTGTGGCTCTGGCCTGGAGATCCGCAGGCCGCAGAGCACCTGCACTTCACTCTCTCCGCGCTACTCAGCGGTCCTCAATCCTCCACCGGGAGTCTCTCCTCCGTCAAGTCCGCTACTCCTCGGACGCAGCATCCCAGACCAAAGAAGCAGCCAAGGAGACCACCGCACAGGTCACAGAAACCGTGAAGGAAGCCCCCAAGAAGACCGGCCGCAAGCTCAAGCGCACCATCTGGGGCACCTCCCTGGCCCTGACTCTCCTCGCCGGATTCATCTACGGAACGGACACCCGCGCCAGCGTGCACCGGTACGGCGTGGTCCCTCTCGTGCGCCTGCTCTTCCCCGACGCCGAAGATGCGCACCACTTCGGCGTGGACATCCTGAAGACCCTCTACAAGTACGGTCTGAATCCGCGCGAACGCGGCGACCCCGACAGCGATGGTGCTCTCCTAACTGAGGTATACACCCCCTCCCCCTCCCCCTCCTAACCTCACCCCATACTCACCCACCACCGCAGGTCTTCGGCTACACCCTCTCCAACCCGATCGGCATCTCCGGCGGCCTCGACAAGCACGCCGACATCCCCGACCCTCTATTCGAACTCGGCCCCGCCATCGTCGAAGTCGGCGGCACCACTCCCCTCCCCCAAGAAGGCAACCCCCGCCCACGTGTGTTCCGCCTCCCGTCCCAGAACGCCATGATCAACCGCTACGGCCTCAACTCCAAGGGCGCCGACCACATGGCGGCAGTCCTTGAACAGCGCGTGCGCGACTATGCCTACGCGCACGGGTTCGGCGAGCACGAATTGGCCGAACAACGGGTCCTGAACGGCGAAGCCGGCGTCCCGCCCGGAAGTCTCCGCGAAGGCAAGCTGCTCGCCGTGCAAGTCGCCAAGAACAAGCTCACGCCGGACAACGACATCGAAGCCATCAAGCGCGACTACGTCTACTGCGTCGACCGTCTCGCCAAGTACGCCGATATCCTGGTCGTCAACGTCTCCAGCCCTAACACCCCTGGTCTTCGTGACTTGCAAGCCACGGCGCCTCTCACTGCTATCCTGAAGGCCGTTGTCGGCGCAGCGAAGAGCATCGATCGCAAGACCAAGCCCTTCGTCATGGTCAAGGTTAGTCCTGACGAGGACGCAGACGAGCAGGTCTCCGGTATCTGTGACGCGGTGTGGGGGTCCGGTGTTGATGGTGTGATCGTGGGTAACACGACGAATCGGCGTCCGGAGCCGTTGCCGAAGGGATTTACTCTGCCCAGCAAGGAGCAGGATGTCCTGAAGGAGACGGGCGGGTTCTCTGGGCCGCAGTTGTTTGATCGTACGGTGAAGCTGGTGGCGAAGTATAAGAGTTTGTTGGATGCTAGTGCCCCTGCTTCTGCTGCTGCTGCTGCTGCTGTGCCTAAGGCGATTGAGGCGGCCGAGCCGGATGTGGAGAATGTTCCTCCTACTGTGAGTGAGGCTGTCGAGGGGTTGCCTGCTAGGAAGGTTATCTTTGCGTCTGGGGGTGTGACGAATGGGGCGCAGGCGAGGAAGGTCCTTGATGCGGGAGCTTCGGTTGCGATGATGTATACGGCTATTACGTATGGGGGGTTGGGGACGGTGACGAGGGTGAAGGAGGAGATGAAGGAGAAGAAGTAGAGAGGAGGTAAGTGGGTAACTAAGTACTAGATGTGTGGATTTCAAAAGGAGCGACCGGGTTGATTGGGATGGGTGGTAGTTTACTTAGGTAGGCGTAGATTAGGGAGGACGTGATATTGTAAATAGAAGAATAAGAGTATTTTTATCTTTTTATTGCTATTGACACGATATAATTTCATGGAGCCTATTTGGTTTTGAGTGATTATGGCGGAGTATCGAAATTTACTGTCAAGAGGTAAGCTTGTTCGCGTTAGCTGAAGGTAGGTAAAGAAAGTGCCAAGTTTGCTGTGACTGTTCCTGTTAGTCCATCAATGTTGCAAGTCAGTAGGAGTAGGGTAAATTCTCCAGACGAACGATAGCTTCAACTGTCGATAAGGGTTAGTCACTATAGTTAGTATTTCTGAGCAAATACCTAGCTGCTGCTGCATCAAACTAGCTCCCTGACTAGGTAGCTATGAAGCGGATGACGTGAACGACCCTGTGCCTTGACAATCTGGCAGCCATTAGTGCCTCTACCCTGAGGCGCATGAATGCCACATCATCCTCATCATCATTCTGTTCCTTTTCATACAGCAGCCATGAACAGCACACCAAACCCCTGACCCCTAAACCCTCACCGAAAATAGACCACCTTCAGCCCCTTCCAGGATCTAGACCGAGCTCGCACACGTTGGTTGCCAATTCAAGCTTCCCAAATAAATTTAGATTTAAACTACCGACCGGGTTGGCAGTAAGCGATCAGATAATGTGGGCCCCCTGGTCGGGTCAGGTGGCCGCAAATGTCACACGTGCAGCGGAATGGAGGGGAAGACAAGCTGGTCATGCAGCCCGCCGAAATTTTCTTCAACCTCACGCGGACTCGAGCGGGCAGGAATCCATCTGGGCCCAGATCGCTGGGAGCGGAGATCCCGCAAGCTTCGAGAAGCTCTTCACCGACTCGGTTGTGATCCACAGTCATCCATGAATCCATCCGACCCGGGAAATGGATCAAGTCGGCATTGCCTGTTTCGAGATCCCATTCCTCCATGGAAGGAAATGAAGGCTTAAACGATGGATACTGCTCGGGTTTGCCTGAACAGGATACCCGACGATGGTGGATATCACACAAAGGTCTTGGAAAGGGGCTGCTAGCAGTCTAAAATTTCTGTTCTTCCGCGTGATGCCCATTCTTCCCCCACATCTAGCAGTAGTAGACACTAGTAGTGTGGTTCATGATGTACTATGTTTGGTCTTGTGTTTTGGTATCGTCCGAGAGCGTAACCCGAGTCTGCATCTGCCGGAACAGCAGGCCGACGATCAGGCCAACGTCTCTTCAACCTCCCTGACCACCTTGCGGACCCCGTCGACTTCGTGGGCGAATCGGCCCAGGAACATGCCGTCGACGGCCTTCCCCAGACCGCCCGGGCCCCACAGCCCCGGTCCGGCACTTCCCCCGTACAAGATCCGGACGTCCCCCACGCGGGTGCCAATCACCGCCTTGATGCCCTCGACCACCGCCGATATGTGATCTACACCCGCCGGGGCGGGCTTCCCAATTGCCCACACTGGTTCATAGGCAAAGATGACTGGCGCGTCCGCCGGAATGGCCTGGAGGACAGCCCGGATCTGGACCTCACATTCGCTGACGGCCTGCCCAATGGCTTGCGAGGCTACGGGGCCGGGAGCGGTGACCTCTCCTATGCAGACCAGCGGAACCATACCTTGTGCGCATGCAGCAGCAGCTTTGAGACCAGTCTGGTTATCTGTCTCGCCAAAGATGGCGCGGCGTTCTGCGTGGCCAAGTTCGACAATGGACACCCCCATCGAGCGGAGCGCCAGCGGCGAGACCTCTCCGGTGTAGGCGCCGAGGGGCTCCCAGAAGCAATCTTGAGCCCCAAGCAGGAAAGGAGCCGGCAGTGAAGGGGTGTCATCCTTCGGTAGAGTGGATTCCCACGCCTTGATAATCTCCGCACAGGGGTAGACAGTCAGGAAGTCGGGGATGAGGGCCAGCAACAGCTTGGAACGGTTCTCCGGGCGGACGACATCATTCTTGGGATCGAGCAGAGCACGGCAGTAGTCGAGCGTACGGGTGGGTGTGAAGTACATCTTCAACGAGATGATGAGCAGGTTCTTTGGGAGAACCGGATAGGCTTGCTGGGACGCCATGTTGGGTGACTTCAGGCACCGGTGTAATGAAGGGATGGGACCGGTGAATGACGGTCTTCGAAAGTGATTTCCGTAGCAATCAGAACACGATCAACCGGTCTCCACTGGTATAGACTGGCCAACGAGGTTAGTTGTCTGAAACCTGAGACTACTAAACTCCACTATGATAATGAGGGCACCCACTCGAGCGTAGAGTAGTGTGTTGATGAACTTGATGGGGAAGGATATTGTGTGATGGCTGCTGGGTCTGAGATTCGATCGAAAGCGTTAGAATCGAGAGAGGCTGGATTAGCGTAACAGGAATAGCTCAGGAGGAGACAACGGAGGGTAAAGAGGGGCGGGGCCAATCAGTCGACCACGGAATTAGTAGCCATGCTGTGCCGCGGACAATTTCATTGGGGCCTAGTTTAGCATGCAACCGGTATCCCCTTCACAGTTTAGTGTTGGGAGGGAAAAAGAGGAGACACGATGATCGGCCCACGCGAGGGCCATCTGCCATCTCCATCCGCTGAGGTCAGCACAGCCATGGGAAACCTGGGGAATGGCGGGTGATTAGTGTGGTATTTTAAGAACCTTGATACTTCATCGAGATATTGTCGGGAAGGGGTTAGATTAACAATAGGGGTGCAAGAAAGTACGAGGGGTGCAAGCCACTCTGCACATTAGAGAGAGGCTTGAATGAGAAGGTGGGAATAACACGAGTCGGAAGAGGGAAACCAAAACACAAGCAAGAATCTCGCCGCGGCTTGCAGGACAGCAGAGCCTGCCTGATTGAGACATAGAAGAATGGAAAGATACAGAATCGACCGGAAATGAAGTTGTCCCCAAAGACAGCTTCCGACTGGTCCGCTTAGACCTCATCGGTTTCCGTGATACAGTAAGTTACCCGGGGGTTTCTGGATCCCCTGGAAACGGTATGACTTGTCACTTTCCATCGATCGGACGTCAGCGGGCCACCAATAGTAACTAAAGTCCTATCAGAAGCCAGTAAAACACCAGTCGAGTGGGGATGGTGGGAAGTGGTGGGGCGTGCAGTTGTAACCTCGTTTGGACTTCCGAGAGCCCAGCCTGGACTGTTTTGAGTTATCTTGCAAAAAACAACGTTACTCGAGATATGTATGGTCTGTATTAATCGCTCAAAAGAGACAACATTTGGGAGCTGATTCTGGTGTGTGGAGGGTTGAGAGAACAAGGCAGAGCAACAGCCAAAAATTGGTGAATCTCAAGTTTGGACGTTGGAACGCGTCAATGGCGCAAACTGAACTGCCACCATTTGAAAGTCAACCAGCCTAATTGCACTTACTCACTTGGGAGGAATTAGTTCTATTTCTCCCCGTGAACTGACTGGTTTGGATTAGACTATCTGTAACAGGCTAACAACCATGCGCTTTGATACGGACGGGATCCTCCACTTGCTGTTTGCTGTCTGCTGTGGCCCCTCGACCCCAGAATAATCTCCTGCGACAACAACGGCATATTTAGTATACAAGATGGTAAAATGGCTGTGATTGAGCCTCCTACGTGTATGCCACATGAGCCATTCTCGGACCAGCTGAGGTTCCCTCTGAATTGTTATTGCAGTAACAGGGGGACTATATATGCCGTTGCTGTTGCTGTGAGTTCGTATCCTATCTTCGTCTAAGATGACTAGTCTACTGTCAATCCCAAGTCTATCACAGAATCGATTGCAACTCACTCCGAGCTAAGGTGCCTCGGAACTAATACGACACCGATGCTATCCCGAATGAGCCCACACTCATTCCCGCCCCCTCCTCTTCATCTCGGTATACTTCTATGTATTGGGCAGTTGCCCAGAGAACTGTGAATCCGCGCCAAAGAATGCCTGTATAGGCTTCCTGAATAGGCCAAGTAGGCCGATAATAGTGCGCGGGCATGCAGTTCCCCCTCTCCCCCAACCCGGTTAGCTTGGCCGCGGACCTGTACCAGTTACCAAACTTCCAAGACATCCAACGAGGGGGGGAAGGATGGAGGAGAATCCCGGGGCAATCTGGAGTCGGTTCCGAATGGCGATGCAACAGAACCGAAAGGGAAGAAGAAAAAGGAGGAGAACAAAGGGCGGGTTGACATCATTCGGCTGAGCGGGATGGAACTATTCCCGGTGAACTTCACCGTAGAGATTAAGTCGGAAGAGAAAGATATCACAGTAACAGTATTCAGTAGATGATAGTCGGTACTGTAGACAGTCATGCCAGTATGGCTGTCACTGGCTGAAAATCCTCCTAATCTGTCCGAAAGGGTTCGCCAATCCGGACTCAATGCTATTGGTTCCGCTTGCAGGCAGTCGCAGCAAAACAACCTTTGAGAAATGTAAGAATGCATGACGCCATGAGTGGATCTGCCAGAACCAAACATGGTCCGGCCCAAAACCGGCTTCTCTGGATCGCCTCTAGCTGTGGGGGGTGCGACACTAGTGTCTATCGCTGCTGTCGCGCATGAAGCACGAGAAAAAAAAGCATGAGGGATAATCAGTGCTGGTTCGTAATGGCCATTGGGACATGCGTGTCGCCAAACCGAATTGGCGTCTACCACCGAACTTTGGGTCCAGGAGGCACGGCACGGCCTTTTTCTCCCCACTGCATCGGACCTTTCGATCGGAAAGTACTTTGGAGAATGGAGGGGGAACAATAGGAGGAGAGAGGAAGAAGGAGAGCTGGAGAAAAAGGTATAAAAAGGTCCTTGTCTTCCATCTTCAACCCTCTCTTTCATCACTATTCCATCATCATTCCTATCTACTTCAAGCCACAGTCACTTGTTCTGGGACTTCACGCTCCACTCACTACCAATACTTCCTTGAATTCATCTACTTCCTTACCACACTCTTCACCATGTCTGCCGATCTGAAGCCCCTCCGCATCGTCATGGCCTGCGATGAGGCCGGCCAGCCCTACAAGGAGACCCTGAAGGCTGCTCTTGAGAAGAACCCTCTGGTTGAGTCCATCCAAGATGTGGGCGTCAACTCCACCTCCGACAAGACTGCTTACCCTCACCCGGCTGTCGCTGGTGCCAAACTCATCAAGGAGGGCAAGGCAGACCGTGGTCTCTTCATCTGCGGTACTGGTCTCGGTGTCGCTATCTCCGCCAACAAGGTGCCCGGCATTCGCGCCGTGACAGCACACGACTCCTTCTCCGTCGAGCGCTCCATCCTTAGCAACGACGCCCAGGTGCTCTGCTTTGGCCAGCGCGTTATTGGCATTGAGCTTGCGAAGAAGCTCGCCAACGAATGGGTGACCTACCGCTTCGACCCCAAGAGTGCCTCCGCCGCCAAGGTGCAGGCCATCTCCGACTACGAGAAAGAACTCGCCGGTACTGCTTAAGTTGGATTGTCTGTCTGTCTGTCAACCCAGTCGATTCATCAGTACTATGATGTTCCTTGTCCGTGCGGCATGACATGAACACCAGCCACACCGAAGTGGCAGCGGCAGCGCCATAATCTCCGGCGTGTTACTATAAACTATAGCTTCCTTTCACCACTTATTTTTTGAGCGAAGCGATCTGGTACGGCTGGATCCGGGCCTTTCCCTTCTAATATCCGACGAGTCAACGATACCACGAGTGTACGGAATGATTTGGCCGGCCAATCTTTCATTAGAGCAGTAGGTAGAAAAATATACTACATTGCTCCAAATGTCTTCTATTTTGTAGACGATCGTCTATATCATCGAGATTCACTGTAGTCAACGAAGTAACTCTACAAATAATTCCCAAAATGGCAATTGCTAACACTCTCCCCAACATTTGCTGCCCACTCACAACTGCTGACTCATCTGGATTCTGCGGGGATCGATCACCTTCGATTGCTCAACCCACGTCTTCTTCCACTACACAGGAACAGGCATAAAATCGAACATTCAATTGAAGAAGATGGAGAACCCAACGTGCCGTCCCGACACCAGGGCTGTGTGGATCACGACTGAAAGCTCACCCGAGCTTATCAATTTCATTCCTGACTGAACCTCCAACAAGGATCTCAGGTCCCAAGAGGGGTAGCTGAACAACAGTACTACTTACCTGGATACTTATGCTCGTGTGAAATTGGCCAGAATCTCCATGCTCTCACAGCATCAATCCTCCATTGCTACTATCATCAATCATCCCACTGCATTGAAATCCACTCCACATCCACTATCCGCTAGACAGAACGGTTAGAATCCCTAGCACATCCAGTCACCATCTACTTCCCTCAACAACAGTGGAGATCACTGCGCAGCCCCACACATCCGACATCCGAAGCGTTGTTTCTTCGTTCGTTCCTTCGTTCGTTCTTTCCAGCTGACAAAACACAATCGTCACGGAAACAAAAAAGGGGAGAATCCCGTTGTCATTTACAGCACAAATCAGTGTGCGCACACAACACAACATCACACCTCATACCGCAGCACAGCAAACATGGCTCTCGAACTAAAAGAAAAGGGCAACCAGCTCTTTAAAGAAGGCGATTACAATGGCGCCGAGGAGATGTATTCACAAGCGTGAGCATATATCCCACTTACCCCGCTATACACATCCACCACCCCCAATGAAATAAATCTAAAAACTCCTACTAAAAACCAATGGATATCTACAACAACTAGAATCCTCAAGAATCCCAAAGAACCCACTTTTTTCTCCAACCGCGCCCTGACCCGCATCCGACTCGAAAACTGGGCCGGAGTCGAGCACGACGCTCGCGCCGCCATCGATCTCTACGGCGCCAAATCCCCCACCAGTTTGAAATCCTCCTGGTACCTGGCACAAGCGCTGTTGGGCCTGCAACGGCCTCAGGAAGCATACGACGTAGCCATTGAGGCGTATAAGGCGAGTCTGGCGGCGAAGAACATCCAGACGGAGAATTTGTCGCGGACGGTGTTGCGCGCTAAGCAGGCGATTTGGGCGGCCAAGGAGACGGCGCGGATAAGGGAGTTGGATGAGACGTTGGCGAGTGTGGAGGGGCTGATTGAGGCGGAGGTGGAGAGGGGAGTGTCGGAGTTGAAGGCGCGGTTGGAGAAGGGGGAGATTGGGGATATTGGGTTTAGGGAGGATGAGAGGGAGATTAGAGAGGATGCTGAACGAAAGGTGCAGAGGGTGAGGGAGGTGTTTGGGATTGCGTCGGAGGGGAAGGTGGTTGAGAGGGTAAGTTCTGAAGTTCCTTTTGCGAGTTGCTGGTGGGTTGTGCTAATGATATGGTGTAGGTTGTACCTGATTATCTGGTGGACGGAATTACATTTGAGATTATGCATGACCCTGTTATTACGCCTTCTGGGACCAGCTTTGACCGGGTCGGCATCACCAAGTACGTGGAGCAGGCCAAGGTTGATCCTATCACGCGGGTGCCGATGACGGTGAACGATCTTCGGCCGAATTATGCGTTGAAGGCGGCGTGCGAGGAATTTCTGGATAAGAATGGGTGGGCGGTGGATTGGTAATTGATTGCACAAATAGTATGATTAGCATGGCGTTGGTAGTAGACTACTTGATACCATTAACAGGACATATGCTTGTATACTATGTTATAGAGTAGTACAGTGTATACTAGTTATTAAATATTTCATGAGACAGATGATGAATTACTCTATGTGTCTGTGTATGCGTAGTCTTCCTAGTTGGAAGGTCACCTTCCATTCATCCATCTTAATTACCAATTTATCTGTTTTCAGACCGTCAACGCCAGACAGGCAGTATTCGATATTAGTACTTATTTCTAGCATGACTACTCTTAACTACTCGAGGTTATCAACACCCACATCACGAACTACTTCGTATTGACACTGATAAATACTATGTCTCTCACGAACGACGCAATATATTAAGCGCCCCACCAACCAACAAGAAACACCCTGTTATCAAGACCTGCGCTCTACCATCCTGCTGTGCACCGATACTCCTTGCTGTGTCGATCGCTTCTTCAATGGTCTCCTTAGTCGAGATTAAACTCGTGCCTCGAGGAACAGTAGCTTTCCATTTTTCAGCAAACAAAGATAACACGCTGAGATCTGGGAGGGTGGTGGGGAGTATATCTTTCATTTTATTATATCATCACATCATGAGTTAGTGGGTATCGAGGTAGAGAAGTTGATATGATCCTCACCTTTATCCATCTTTTCAGTTCGAGATTTGTCTGCTCGTTCAATGTAAGTAGTGAAGATAACATGATCTGGCAGTGCATCTTGCTCAAAAAGAGATTCTGCTAAGCATTTTAGAAGGGCTAGGGCGTCTCGGTCTTTGGAGAAGTGGCTGAAAATTAGGACTCGGTGTCTGTATAATTAGTTCACTTGGGTAAGTTTATTGGTTACTTTACTTTAAAAGGGATGGGGAATATACTGACGTTGACGTTTGCTCCTCAGACCTCTTGGTAATATCTGAGAACCACTCCGCCGTTTTCTCAAGACTAAGCGTATTGTGTGCGCCGTCTACGAACCATTGTGATTGTCCGTCTGGGTCATTGATGATCTCGAATCGTCCGATTAGGCAGATATTTCTCATTGCGGTAGATATGTCCTCTGGCTTGATTACATGGTCGGGTGCTTTGGCTTTTAGAAATGTCCTGGCTAGCTCGATGGCGAGGGAGCAGTTTAGTCGCTGGACGGGAATCCCCAACACATTACTGTCAGTAGGGAGATTAGGGTTCAGCAGGACGATAGTCAATGAAGTATGCTTCTCTGCGGCACGAGCGTGCAGGACCTCAGAAGGACTTTCTTCCTGTGGAACACTTAATGCAGGTGCACCGGGTTTGAAGATCCCCGATTTATGCCATGCAATGGATTCGACTGTAGGGCCGAGCTGGTCAAGATGGTCCAGTCCTAGGGAAGTGATGCCTGTGACCACGGGGTTCTGGATGACGTTCGTGGCGTCGAATTCTCCACCATGGTGGACTTCGATTATTGCAGCGTCGACGTTCTCTCGGATGAAGGTGTGGAAAGCGAGCAGGGCGAGAAATTGCAGGTAGCGAGGTGGTTGCTGTTTTGTGGCTGCGTTTTGGATCTTTGTGTCTATAAGGGTATCCCATACTTCGAAGAAGTATTTTGTGAATAGGTTCTCAGTGATGGGGTTGCTGTGTATTTGGATTCTTTCTCGGATGCATTGTATGTGAGGCGATGTGTAGAGACCGATTTTACTGGGGAAGCCGGTTCTCAACCCATGTGCATGGAAAATAGAACGGGTGAACTCGCATGTGCTGCCTTTGCCTTTTGTTCCGGTGACGTGGATTATGTTTAGACGGGATATATCGGTCTCCTGTATCTAGTAAGTAAACCCATTCTCTCTGAGACAAGTAGAGAACCTACCGAATGTCCGAGAGTCTGTAGCCACTCGCTCATTCCATACAGACATGGAATACCTCGCACGGTTGGAGTGACCTTTGCTGGAATTTGCTCTGTCTGTACAGAAGGATACGTCCTTGGTCGGGCGCGACGTCTGCGTGACTCCAGGAGACTGAGGGCATCCTGCTGTGAGGTTAGAAGCAGTAAATGAATCAGAAATGGCAGACAGCATACCTCGTAAGTACGAGATAGTTCGTTCTTGGAATTGACAGCAAACATTGGAATGTACTTCTCTCAATACATGAGGGCTATTCCTTGACTATGTCGAGCGTACTTCTAAATTATCTGTTTCATGAAGTCATCCATAATCTGCTGGGGGTTATCCAGGGTGACGTTGCATCCAGACAAAGTGAGTCCGCGGAGGTTTTACTTAGGAATTCGGTCATGATGAAGGAGCTTTGTCCGAGCTTTCCCAAGGGCATCTAGTGAATAATGAGTGAAGATACGAGCATTGAGGATCTCTTACTTAGCCCGCAGAGCAGTTGGTATAGATGATCATGACTCGTGGTGAACTTGCTGGAGTGCATTGAGAGATGGCAATTCAGCATGAAGACGAACACAATAATGAGAAAATAAACACAAGAAATGTGTAAAACTGCAGGTTCTCCTACAAATTCGCATAAATCTCTGATTTCAGCTAAAAAAGACCTTCAATGCTAAGCTCTGTAGCTGATATGCACCAAAGCTCCCATCCATAACATATCCAGAAACCCTGACACTCAACAGTTGAGCCAACAACATCCCATCAAGTAACCACCAAAACTAAACCAACAAATCAGGCAATAACCACATAAAAACAAAATCCCATACTATTGCAATGATCAACAAATAGTCAAATAATACTCAGTAGTATAAGTCAATAACTACGTAGTAAGTAGTCACCTGAGAAAGTAATCTAACCAATAACCCGCCGAGTACAGCTCCCCCACCAAATCAACAAATCCCCCCCACTTTCCCTCAACTCACTCATTCTTCTTCCCCTCTTCATCCGCCATATTTACCTACTACCCCTCCAACCCCAACTACCAACTTCCTCCAAACCACACTCCATCAACTCCTCCCACCAAACAAACCCACACAGCCAAAATGTCCGTCCCCAAATTCTCCGCCGCCCTCGACGCCTCCATCAAGAAGGAGAAGTTCACCCCCGAGGTCCAGGCCGCCGCTGCCAAGGTCGACAGCTCCGCCTTCTTCGCCGCCATCGAGACCGTTCTTGGTGGTGATGACACCGCCACCGTTGAGGGCGAGCTGGCCGTTGCCCTGAAGAATGCTTTCGAGTTTGCTGTTGCTGTCGTCAAGATGCTGAACTCGGAGCCTGGCAATGAGGATAAGTTGGCGGTGAGTACATCCCCCAAACCCCCTCCCCCCCTCCATCTATGGATCGATATCTTTGGAGGGAGGGGAATGAATCTGAGAAAGATGAAGTTGAGAGTGCATATACTAATGTGTTTGTTCTGTATCTAGCTCTACAAGTACTTCAAGCGCGCCAACAACCAGACTCCTGCTTCTCCTGGCATGTTCGATATCCAGGTATGTCTTCTTTTACTTCTATTTCTCTCCGCTCCTCTGTATAAGTGTGAGACTAATATATCTGGTATGATGGTACAGGGCAAGTACAAGTACAACGCATGGAAGGAAATCAAGGACATCAGCGAGGCCAAGGCCCAGGCCGAGTACATCAAGCAGGTTGACACTCTGATTGAGAAGATCGGAACGAGGGAGTAGATTGTTATAATAAACCTACAAGATCATATATGAAAGGGGTATCATGTGGTGGATGCATTGTCTATTAGCAAGATGAGATGAGTTATGAGCTACTTACTACTCAACTAACTTACTGGCTATTGAGCTGCTTGCATAGTCATCGTTGATTTTTGAGATCTAAATATTGGTATGGATGGTATATGGAAAGGATGAGGATAGTATGGGGTCAACCCTCCCACGTCTGTCCCAGCCAGTCCGGCTCGCTATGACTGGCCGTCGCGCACCAGGGTATATCCGTCTCGCTGTACCTCGTCAACGGTAGGTCGTAGGGCATTCGGAAGCCAACTGTAGTAGTTGTCGTAGCAATTTCCTTTTCATCTGCATTTGCAGCCGCAACCGCATCTGCATCGGGCACATCCCTCCGGAAGCAAGGCACCATCACACTCCTCCCTTCAGCACCAGCACCGGTGACTAACTCCGGCCACACCACAACCCCTATCTCCCAACTACATATCCTCACCTCTCCGTTGGCATTCACCGCCGCTCCCCACGCCTGCGTTGACAAATTTGCCGACGTCACCATCGCCCAATCAATCCGGTCCATCTCCGACGATGAGTACCGGATATACGTCTTGATATGCGGTGCCGCGCGACGGCGCCCTGCTTCTCGTTTCACCTTCGCTTCGTCCTCAGCCACATCTCCAGCCCAATGGCACAGATACGGCCGCATGTACTGCAGCTGCTTTTGTTGTGCGGCGCTCTGCAGCTTCATGTGAATGGAGCCGCCTGAGCCGTAGCCGTTCAAGGAGCGGCGAATCTCGTCGGGTGTAGGGAATATGATCGAGAATCTTGGTTTGGGGTTATTTGATGATGGTGAGAGGGACGCGAAGAAGACGTCTTTGAGCCATTTGTCTGTTTGGCCGAGAGAGGCGACGGAGGAAATCTATACCTCGTTAGTAGGGACCCCAAGGCAGTCCCAGTGATAGAAATCAACCTACCTGAGTTACAATATGCGGTCTATCCTCTGAACGATCAATAGGAACCGACCGCAATACATCCCTCAGGGCTAGCCATCCCCACAGCGTCTTCCGGGTCGAATCAGTCGACTCCCGGATCTTCTGCTTCGAGGGAACACTAGCAACCAATGCTGCGCGGACAGCGCCGAAGTCGTGTTTCTCTAACTGCGCGACAAGCGGACCGGTCTTCTTCGGCCCGTATTCTCTTAGATACGAGAGAAGGTCACGTTTGAATCGTGTCCCGGGGGTAGCTATACTTTCACTCCCACTTCCATTGGAACATAATGGGAGAAGGGGAGATCGCCACACGGCCTGGCACATGTTTGCCCAGTCGCCTGCGATCATGTTTGCTGTGTGGATGACCACTCTGTATTCATTCATTAGCTTCGTTAGACTCATAGGTGGAGAATGAGGATACATACTGAGCCAAATCATCATGTCTCAACAAGATCATCATCTTGGAATGATGCGTCCCGAAGGCTTCAGGCATGTAGGCGGTTATTGCCTCGACGTTGGGGTGGCGCGTACATGCTTCCTATTCATATTATTAGCACAGTCTCATCCCATGTATTCAAATCATATAAGTCAATTGGAAACAAGATAATGAAGAAAAGGGACATACATCAATCCTCTGACGATTCGGGGCATCTCTCTTCCACGAGCCATGCACAACCTTCACCTTGACGAGCCGTCTCACATCCTCATCAAACTGGCTCATCAAAAAGTCCACATCAAAGAGGTAGTTGAACTGCCAACATTCGCGGATCAATGGATCGCCGAGAATGTCGCGCAGTCGGACAGTGTCGGTGTTGTGGCCTGAGGAGGCGGGGAGGTCCCGGATGTGGGTTAGTTGAATGGGAGAGGGGATTATATTGCCCTTTTTTGATTCAGCATCATTCTCCTTTTTCGTGGTCTGCGTGCTGGGTGATGCTGGGTGGGTGGCATTGTGTTGTGGTTGTGGCTGTGGCGGTGTTTTTGGTCCCTTGGAGCGGGAGAGTATTGGGGGTGTTATGGAGCGGTGCAGGGATGCTAGGGGGTGGTTGTTACTGTCATTGCTGCTGCTGTTGGTCCTTTGGGTAGAGTCATTGTCTGCATAGTCTATGTTGGAGGCTAACTTGGCCCTCTTGGCTGGCCGGTCCGGTTCTTCCATGTTGAGGATGGGATGAAGTGAGAAAGTGGTGAGGGAGATGCGGTGGTAGCGGATAGCATACCGGTTACATCTGGATATCGCTAAACATCATACGCAGAATGCTTGCTTCACAACCACGAAATTATTCAGATCTATAAATAACTATTACTACAGTATTATACACTATACACTTTTACAAGTCTACCACATGAACCGCTGGATCTTCCCCGGTTCCTGGGGCCATTCAAACCCGCAGTACAGGAAGATGTATCCCGTCACCGCGTTGATCACCAAGAACCAATACGTTTCCAGGAACAGCGCCATGTTCGTGGCAACCTTCGCATTCAGCTCCTCAGTCGCATCGCGCGCCCGCTGCCGGTGCACGAGAGGCGTCGGCTGCGGTGGCAGATGCAGCCGCCACATCACCCACGGAATGATAAAGTAGCGCGGCTCGACGAGCGGCGCCGTAATGAGCGACAGCGCCGTAGCCGCCAGCCAGACAAGCACAAAGCTCACCTGCGGCGTGCCCTGATGCTGCTTCTGCCGGTGCGCAATGTGCTCCTGGATCTTGGCGTACGCGTCGAACGACATCGGCTCCGGCTTGGGCGACTGTGCGGGCTTCTTTGCTGCCTTCCGACGTTCGGCCTTCTTCTGGCTGGGCTCTTTCTGAGGTACTGGCACTGGCTCCGGCTGTGAGGCTGCTGTCTGTGGGACACGCATCAACTGGGGAGGTGTGGAAATCGTCGTGAATCCAAAGGCGGAGATGACCATCCACGCGCAGAGGAAGTACACCGCGACAGCAGCATACTTGATAGCAGGGTGAATGCGCAGCAGGATACGGAAGACGTAGAAGACGTAGTGACGGTTGTCGGCCAGAGTGAACGGATGGACGATGGTGTTGAAATGAACCACGGCCAGCATAATGGGGATCACAACAAGAGCCGTCAACAGCTTAGGAAGGCCCTTTTGCTTCTTCGGGAAGCCAAAGTCGATGAACTTGGGAAGAAGCGACTTCGGGAGAACCAAGTTGACGACTGGCGAGAGGAGGAGAGGCCAAGAGAAGAAGACGAAGTAGGGCCAGATGTAGAGCATCTGAGGCAGATGCAGCCCAGCAGTGTGATACTCCTTGTGTCCTGCAGTTGTCAGCCTAGCACTTACAACACAATCAATAGACCTACCGAGAACGACACCATCATTCCACAGCACGAAGCCACCAAAACCGGCAAGTATGAGCAGGTACGGAATAGCAGAGCTAATCACCGAGCCGAGGTTGTTCAAGGCAACAACCACCAGCGAAATAGACGCCTTGAAGTAGTCTACTCCAGTCAGCAATACCATCAACACACCACAGAGACCATACTAACCTGCAATCGAAGCGTCCGAAACAAACGGATCATACAGCTCATTCTTCCACCCCGCCCGAGCAATATCCGCGAATCCCGACGCCTCGCATCTCTTAGAAGACAACCTCAACCGCCGGACGACCTGCAGTCCACCCAGAAAGATCGCCACCCAGAAGATGTTGGTCTGTCTGAAGACCAGCGCTACCAGCCCCAGCACGACAAACACCAACGTCGAGAGCGGCGCAAATCCACCCTCCGACGAGCGTTTCAGGTCCCAGTTGTACGCCTCAATGACCACCAGCAGCGCAAGAATATCGGTGTAGTATAGGCCGGAGAAGAAGAACAGCGGCGGGAAGAGGCAGATGTTCAAAACAGTATGGCTCAGCCATGCTCCAGAGGGACGTGTGTTGCGCACCCTGCGCAGCCGATCCAACAATGTCTGCAATCGCAACGGTAGAGCTACGGCGGTGGCTGCCACGTTGGTCGCACGCAAAGCTTCCGGGGTAAGCTGTGTGGGGGAACCGCGCAGGAAGAGCGCGATCGCGCACAGCACATACGACCAGAGATAGATTCCCGGGGGAGTAGTGATCTTGGGATCCCAATGCGTCCACTTATGAGCCCAGTAGGCCTGAGCCTGGGGGACATGGAAGGCCTCATCCAGATACGGTTCGGGAACGACGGCATTGATCCTCATCATCCAAAAGGGGATCAACAGCAGAACAAAAGGAATGGCGTAGCGGGCGGCCAAAGCCACGCCCGACTTGGGTTGCGCATTCATGTCGGTCAATGCTTAGGCAGGAGGTCAACCATGCTCTCGACAATTGAAGTGTGAAACAGGAGAAGAAGAATAGATCAAATAATCTAAAAGACACGAGCGGAAATGCAAGCTTGCAATGCAAACCGAACAAACACACCGCATCGGGCAATCGACGCCCATCGCGATTGAATTTGAATGAACAACTTCAAGCTTCCCCTTCTTTCATTCGGTCCGCAAAGTAACTCCGGGGCATGGAATACTCTTCTCCGACTGTCCCGACACGTCATTAACTCATTTTCCCCCGGCCAATCCACGCGCAAACGTGAGGGTCAATGGCCTTTCCCCTCCCGCGGGGCATCACGCCCCCGGAGATCTCCTTCCTCGCGGAGATGGAGATGGTCACCATCTTGCCTCGTCAGCGACTCGAGGGGCTTGAATTACTAGGAGTACGTCTTATACAAGTATCCTACCCTACTAACAGCAACTAATACCTCCTCAAATAGGGCCCCGTCTCCCCCCTCCTCCCACCCCGACGCACCTCCCTCCCCCTCTGGCTCGCCCTCCTCCTCAAACGCCAACGCCGCGCCAACATCCTCCCCCCGCCCTGGCTCCACCCCGAATCCCTCGAACTCATCCTCGAAATCGAGACGCAAAACGACGAATACCAGCACGCCTTCTCCCCGCCGCCTCCACTGCCCGGCCAGCCCGCCCCAGGCGATCACCGTCGCGCTCCGCTCGCGACACCGCGCTACACCCCCTCCGGCGAGAAATACTACCCTGCGCCGCCGTTTCTGCCTCAGAATACAGCACGCGATCACATCCCGCCGGGGGAGCCGCCGGCACTACCGTTCCATTGGTTGGAGGTAGGGACGATGTTGCTGGAGGCGGCGAGCGATGATCTAGTGGATCCGGATCAGACGAGACGACTGTTGAAGGAGCTGAGGGAGGTGCGGATGGCGAAGGTTAGGGCTGGTGTGGATGTTCTGGATGCGGCGGCGATGGGTGGTGGGGGTGTTGCGTTGACGGGTGTGGGAGCTATGGAGTTGGGAGAGGGGAGGAGGTTCATTGCGGGGGTAGTGGATGAACTGAGGTATACTCTTGCCACTTCCTCTATTCTTTGTTTTAACATGGTTGTGCGCGGATTGCTAACGAGTCATGTTGATAGGCGCATCGGGGCATCGAAGGAACAGGCGAGGAGAGAGGAGATGGCGGAGGAAATGGCGAATGGAGGGTATGATGGGACGCAAGACGATGATGATGAAATGGAGTTTTAGATATTTCTGCTCATTCTTTCCCCTCGTTTTTATATTTGCAATGCGTGGGTTGGTTCATTGTTCAGTGTTTGTTTCATGACGGGAGTTATCGGGGTCAAATCTATATATGTATGGGGACATGGCAGGACATGATCATATTGGCATCGCACATACATCAGACGCATGTATGTATATATACCCTGAATCATTGATTGGAAGTTACTTGGTTGATGGGCCGGGTGTCATGCTAGTAAGCAGGTAGTAGATAGGTAGTAAGTAGTGCTGATCATATCCCCCTATCAAAAACACCAGATGCATGCGACGCTCAGCTTAAGATGAGAGAGAGGAGAGGGAAGATAGTAAGAAAAAAAGACATGACAAGTCAATCTCCGAAAGACAAATGAAAACAACAACAGATATGCCAATAACAATGGATTGAATCTTACACATCCCCAACGCCGGCAACAAGAGGTATATAACAACCCGAAGGAGATCGAAGAAGCACACAAAAGTGATCCAAATGAATACAGAATGAAAGGCATAAAGAAAAACCCCCCTTCGAGTAAGCCGTCAATCTGCCTGCCCCTATGACGCGCAATACCGGGGCCCCAGAGAGTTAGTTCCAAGTTTCCAGTCCCCACGAACGATATAGCATGGTTAACTTCATTGAGCAGCCTGGTCCTTCTGCATCATCTTCCTCCGCGCCGCCAGAATCATCTCGTCCCTGCGCTTCTGCAGCAAGCGCTGGCGCTCCTCCTTGCTCTGCGACCAGCCTGTCGTGGAAGAAGCCTGCGACGGCGCGGACTCAGCGGCGCTGTTCTCGGCCTCAAGTTTCGCGCGGAGGTTGTATCGGGAGATCAGATCCTGGGCATCGGCCTTAGAGGTTGCCGTTTGAGTAGGTTGTGACTGCACGGGTGCTGTATTGGGGATCGCAATCTGGGGTTGGAAGGATGGGGGCGGCTACAAGGTAGGTTCGGTTAGCTGGCTATGCATCTGACTCAATGCGGGGAACGAGAAAGGGGAAGAAAGTCGAGAAGATAATGAAAGACCAGCGGCCGCAGGTCTACATGCATCAAAGTGAGATAGGAATGAGGGGAAAGACTCACCACTTCCAGCCCCCGACCGGTCAGGATTCTCTCCGTCGTCGCCGCAACACTACCTCCGTTGCGCTGCAAATCCCACATGATCTCACGGGCGCTGAGCTGGGGGAACATCTGGGATATTTGCTCGACTTGAGCTGGGTCGACGGTGCCTCGCGGCCGACTGCGACTGCTGCCTGGCCCGGCCTCTCCCCCATCGCGGTTAAGGAACCATCGAAGCACGAAGAATGACACCACGGCGAGGGTGAGGAGAGAGGGGATATTCAGGGACGGCTCTTCTTCTGGCATTGTTGTGAGGATCTCTCTGGACGAGGTAGCGGGTATAGGACTAAATGTGGACTGTTGGTTGGGTCAGATGGGGAGTCGCGAATCGAAACTGGCGTATGCGACCGCCTTGGAGTCAACGGAGAAGGAGAGTTTTAGCTCGAAGCCCAAAACAAGGCGGCGTTGAATAGAATGCTGGGGATGATGGAGGAATGATGCCGCGGCAGTTCGTTTGGGGGGAAAGCGGCGAGGTGGCGGTGGGACAATCGGATCCCGGCCGGATCGGGGCGGGCACGTTGACCGACTGCGGCGGTGCTTGGGTTTCGGGGCGATTTGGCCAGGGGAAAAAGGTGAGGAAAAAGCAAATAAACTCACCCCACCAAGAAAAGGGGAAGAAGAACGGCGATTGACTCAACTGGACAGGGTGGCAGAGAACCGAGTAAGGCCGTGTCTTGCTGACATTCAACTAATGTTGTGGCAGATGATGCGAGCAGTCGGTCGCCTCTTATAGTAAGTTACCAACACTCCAGCCTCCAACCACTTATTGCATCCTACCGCTGTCTCTACGGAGATCTCCTTGCGTCCGTCATTAACATATCTCATAAGAGTACGGTGTAGAACTGCAGAATCATCCAGAATCATATACATCATCCGAAAACACCCCGTCCCAACCTCCTGGCCTGTCACGTAACGCGCCATGTCCAATGTCCAAACCAAAAGACCCATATGCACCAACGCAATATCGACAAATGAAGAATAACAATCCCAGCTTGAGGTCTACTTCATGTCGGCAGGAGTCAAGGCCTGGACCACACTGGTTCCCTCGCTGAACCTTGTGCGGAAGATCCGGTTGGCATTCTGGAACATGCCGTCCTTCAGCGACACAACGATGAACTGCGATCCCTTGAATCGCGTCTTGATCAACCGACCAATGTTCTGGGTATGCGACAGATCCAAAGCGGCATCAACCTCGTCCAGAATGTACATTGGCGCCGGCTTGAATTGTAGTAGCGCCATAATTAGCGAAAGCGCAATGAGAGACCTAGACAAATGTTAGCTCGTAGCCAGGAAAGAGTAACCCATCGGAAATCCACGTACCGTTGTCCACCACTCAGCTCGGTTAAGCTCTGCTTCCAGACCTTGCCCAGGGACACCTTGACTTCCAGACCTTCGGTGATATCCTTGCCCTCAGGGGGTTCCAGCTTGGCAAAACTGCCGGGTAGCAGGTCGTTGAAGATCTGTCCAAAGTCGGCTGTGACCTTAGTCCACGTTTTGTGGAGGGCCTCCTTCTTGTACTCGTTCAAGTTGATGATGGTCTCCTCGATCTTGCTCTTGTCACGAATGACGGTCTTCATCATGTTCTTCAGGGCAGCCTCCTTCTTCTCGACGCTGTCGATCATGTTCATCACCTTGGGGTTGATCTTCTTCTTCATGCCCTGGAATCGCTCCGTCAGGTTGCGCAGTGTCGACTTGCACTCGGCGATATTCTGGTTCTTGAAATCGTATGCCGTGTTGGACCGTCCGAAGTTATCCTTCTCATCAGCGATCCATTCATGCTCCTCCTCCATATGAGCCACCGTCTGCGCCGCAGCTTGTTGCTCCTTCTGCAATTTCTCGAGCTGATGTCCCAGCTTCTGGACTTCCAAGCCCTCTTCCGTAAGTTGGGAGTTCTTCGACTGCTTCGTCCGCTCGAGTTCACGCAGCTCATCATCAAAACCGGTCAGCTTAGCCCTTTCGTCCTCCAGGTGAGCCTGGGCAATATCATGGGCGTCCTATAGATCATTAGCAGATGGTCTTAAGCCGTGACTTGATATTCCTACCTTGATCCGAGCCTGTTCTCTCTTCAGCGACTGGATTTCTTCCATCTGAGCCTTGAGGGTGTTTTCGGCCTCGGCGTTTTGTTCCTCGGCCGCCGACAGATCACCGCCAACTTGCTCCAGCTCTAACCGGGAGTTCTGAAGCTCTTTCTGCAGGGTCTTGACCGAGTTGGAGTTCTTGGCCAGACTCTTCTTCAGGGAGTCCAGGGAAGACTGCAGTTCCGCAAGTTTGCTGTCCTTGTTGTCGTTGAACTCACTCATATCCTTCTCGATCCGCTTGATATCCTTGGATGCTTCGCTCTGGCGAGTCTTTGCGTCAGAGATGTCCTTCTTCAACTGCTCGATGTTCGCTTTCATCTCTTCTACGGCGTGGATGATCTGTTTTCGTCAGTTATACGTCTAGGGAAGCATCTTAGTGGGACTTACCGAGGAAGACGAGTTGCTGCTAATTTGCTCCTCCGTAAGCTTAATCTCGTGGGTCTTAAGGTCCAGCTCTTGCTTGATTGTACGAGCAGCATCCAGCTTCTTCTTCTCCTTCCTCATTGTTTCCTCCACAGTAGCCAGCTGTCGCTCCTTGCTCCGGATCTCCCGAGTAATCTCGTTGAACTTCTGCAGGGTGACAAGCACACCGCTCGTGTTAGGAGCACTACCTCCGGACAGAGTACCGGATGGGTCGTAGACATCACCCTCGAGCGTCACACTCTTAATCCGAACGGAAGGGTCAAACGTGACCCGCTTGGCTGTGTCGGCATCATTGCAAATCAGGGTGTTACCGAAGACGTAGTTCATTGCCGAAGTAACTTCCTCGTCATAGCCGATGAGCGACAAGGCGAGATCAACCTTACCAGGAGCAATCCTCTGTGCTGCTCCAATCTTCTCTGCCGAGGCAACAAATGAAGATATCTTGTTCAGGGGGATGATGGTTACACGCTTCTTCAGTCTTCCTTTCTGAAGCAGCTGGGTACCAGTTTCAGCGGTGTCGACAACAACGTTGTACAGACGGCCACCTGCGCAGATCTCCAGTGCTGTAGCAGCTTGGAGCTTTTCCTTGTCAAGGCTAAAGAGCTGCGCAACCAGACCCTTGACTTTAGAACGATCGAAGTGAGGATGGGGGTCACTGTAGTTGAAATCGACATTTGCAACCTTCCTCTGGAGGCCGTCTGCTCTCTGACGCAGCTCACGGATCTCTTTTTGAAGTTCAGTCTGCTGCTGGTAAAGCTCCTCCTCGCGACCCGGCTCAAATCCTAGCCTAGAAAGTTCTGAGTCAAGCTTCTTAGCTTGCGACTTCAGTCCCTCCAATTCTTTCAGGAGACCGGAGTTCTGTTCCTTTGCCTTCTTCGCGCGCGGCTCCTCTTCCTTGATCCTCTTCTCCAAGTTCGCGATCTTGAGCTTGGCCTGCTCTTGTTCAGTGGCGGCCGTGTTGGCACGGTTACGAGCGTCCTGGAGCTGGCCCTGGTAACCACTTTCCTGGCCTTCCTTGGAAGCGACACCAGTCTGCAGGGTCTGGAGCAATTCTTCCTTCTGCTCCACTTCAGCTGTCTGGGCGTCAAGCTCTGCTTTAGCGGCATCATACTGCGCCTGAAGCTTATCGTAGACCTTCTGCTTCTCCTTGAGGACCTTCTCCAGGTCCGTCACGGTTCTCTGGACTTCCTTCCTCTTTTCTTTCTCTTCAGCAATGCTGGCGTTCTTGAGATCGAAGACGGTGGTCAAACGAACAAGTTCATGCGAGTGGGACTTGACCTCATCCTCCAGAGCCTGAAATTTACCACCCTTCCGTAGTTCCTTATCGCGGGCTGCTCGGACCCGCTTCATATCCTCCTCAAGGTGAGCAATTTCACTCTTCAGCTTGGCCGCATTGTCTTCCAGCGCCTGCACCTTGTTCCTCTTTTGCTCGCATTCTTCTCCGGAAACCCGTAACCTCTCGTTGCCCCTGAGGTAGTCGTGGGCAACCACCAAGCGAGTCAAGCGCTCCAAGTCATTCTGGGTCTGTTGGAAGTCGAGGAAAGCGCGCTTTTCGGATCGCAGCTTCTCGAGTTTGGGCTCGATTTCTTCCTTGAGAAGCTCTTCAATTTCGCGCAACTTGAGCTCTTTCTTGCCCATTGTCTTCACAGCCTTTTCCCTCCTATCCTCAAACATCCGTGTACCGGCCGCTTCCTCGATCATGGACAGAATCTCAACGGGTTTCATATTCAAGACTTTCGTAATACGACCTTGCATAATCAAGAAATTGGGATTGTTGATGTTCAGCTGCACACTCTGGAAGAGGTTTTGCACAGTCTGCTGCTGCGCGCGGTGTCCGTTAATGAGGTACTTGCTCGTGCCTCCAAGAACAATCTGCCGAGTCACCGAGATGGTCGCATATTCCTCGAATCCGATCGGCGATTTCGCGGTGTCGCGGTTATCGAAGACAATCGTCACACTGGCCTTGGTCACGCCGGCTTGACCACGTTTGTAGATGAGATCCTGCAAGTTCTGCGCGCGAACAGTGGACATGTTCGTGATACCGAGGACGAAACAGATGGCATCGAGAATGTTCGATTTACCACTACCGTTGAGACCGGTGATGGAGTTGAAGGATTCGTCCCTATGTAAGAAATGTTAGGTCTGTCATCATCAAGCAAATTGCACAGTGGAAGGCGTCTCAATCCGCGCATACCATCCTGAGATCACCGTACGCACGGCGTACGATTTGAAGCCCTGTGTTGACAGTCAGCGATCGCACATTCTCCGGGCAGCGGAGAACATGAACTTACGTCAATAATAATCTCCGTAATCCTCATTGTTGCGACTCTGATCCAGCCCCATGAACTAGACGATCAGGTGCATGGGAGGGGGGACCGAGAGAACAGTTGCGGGATTGATTGACGTCTGGGGAGCGATTTTGCGGGCGGTGTTTTGCCGTCGGGGCCCAGCGCTGTTTACGGTTTGCTCTTTCGGGGTTGGTGCGCGCTATCGTGATAATGTAATCATGGAGGGGTTACACGTGATAGTAGGTATGGTTGTCAGTCAAAAAGTCACTTTAGCTTATGTAGCTCTAATAGTGACCTTCTTTCAACAACCGGTCTCGGTGGCGCAATTGGTAAGCTTACCCTTCATCACTACATCAGACCCAATCAGTCACTAATTCAGCATTAAAGGTTAGCGCGTACGACTGTTAATCGTGAGGTTGAGAGTTCGATCCTCTCCCGGGACGCATCTTTTTTTCTCTTTTTCCCTTTTTGCTATGGACAGCATAGCCGGCGCAGAGTCTAATAGAACCATGGCTCATCCTGCTCTTTTTTTTTGTTCAACATGTATGGACAAAAAGTCGTTACCAACTTTATATCAAACTTGGACATGGAACTCCTCAGTATTATTGGGCGTCTGCTTTCCGGGCATGGGCTCATTGTATGGTATACGTCGCGATTGTAATGTA